TTTAGACATGATTCTAAATAATTGTACCTTTTGGAAATTAAAAAATACAGAATCATGTCTCAATTCAAACTTGAAATAACAGTAGTATTTAGAATTTATAAATTGATATACAATTCTAAACACTACTATTATTTCAAGTTTGAATTTAGACATGATTCTAAATAATTGTACCTCTTGGAAATTAAAAAATGCAGAATCATATCTCAATTCAAACTTGAAATAATAGTAGTGTTTAGAATTGTAGAAGCTCCAAATTGCATACATGGCATAGAACATGCATTTGAATTTCTCTCTATATTTAAACTAATAATATTAACACAGTACATGATATAATAAAGTCTGTTCAAGCACATGTGAAGCCTTGTATTGAGTTGTATAGTATTTGTTTTAGAAAATGATTTACTCTTAAGAGGTCATACTGATACAGTTTTTACACTATTACAATTATGTTAAATTCTAGAGCGTTGTGATGGAATACAATGTGGTGTGAATGCTCAGTGTGATAGAAACACTGGACAGTGTGTTTGCCCACCATTTTTCACCGGACATTCAGCCTTTCTTTGTGTGCCACGTAAGTTTATATTCATCATTTTTGTTTTTTTCTTAAGCATTATGAAATGAAAATTTGAATTTGATGGTTGACAATGTAATCTTTTACAACTTTATTTGAAAAAAGTCTTTTTAGTAAAATATATATATGAATCATTATTAACTCTTTCAGCACAGGCTCAGTCCCTGGGACCTACCTCATAACCATTTTGTTTTAATTTTCATTCTATAACTTTTAAATTAGTAAGCAAATGTTAATGAAATTTAGCACATTAGCAGTAAACATTACAATGCTTTCATACACAAAATACCAATTTTTTTTATTAAGTCTTAAGGTTTATAAAGCAATGTTTTTCTTATGTCTTTTTTTTTCTTATTGCATGTTGCCTATCTATCATGCAAAGTAATATTAATTGTAAGATAAAAAATACTTTTATGCATCAGAAAATTTTTAAATATCACATGCGAAATCTTTATAGTGTCCAGATAGTTATCAAATGTATCTTAAGAAAAAACTTTATATTTTATCTGTTATTTTCAGTAATTAATCTCTATACAGGTTTGGTAGATTTGACCAATCTCACAACCACCATAAAAAATTAGGAAATAAATATAAATTATGCCTGTTTCATTCTAGAATAAACACTAATTATAACATGGAAACATAAATGTTTAGACTAAATAGCTTAAATCTCATAACATTATGCATTTAAATATATTTATTATTTTTATCATATTGACCTTTCAACCGTGCCTGGGTAACAATACAGAAGTTACAATGCTGCGACTCATGTGCACTCATGTTACCATATCAACTAACATAAAAGTGACTTTTGGTCTGTACAAAGTAACTTTTTTTGGCTGTGTTTTAGTAGACTAGTATTTTGTAAAATACAGTCACATTACAATTATTATACATTA